AGAAACGTGTCCGTCCACACGAGACCGCTCGACCCGCTGGAGACGCTGTAGTACATATGCCGGGCCTGTAAGTGGCGCTGTACTTCCGCCACAAAATACACCAAAAGCAGCGAAGAAGACTTCCCAAGCATGCATGGTTGCCATGGTTGCCCTTCTGTTTATTCTCCGCTGTGGACGCTCTGGCTCTTTTTCTCCCTCCCCGAGGAGCGTGTGTTCCTGCTGTAAATCTCCCCGGTAGTCCACCAGCAGATGAAAAACACCCACCCACCTCTTCCAAGGGACGAGGGGACCGTGCGGCAGAGTTTCCGTTAGATTTTTTTTCCGCCGGTCGACAACATGTCCCTTAAAGTTTAAATCTTCCGGACAAAATTATAAAAAGTGCCGGTCAAAGGTCTTCTTTGTTATTTATTGAGCTTTAAAACAAATGAATAACGACTCTATATAATAATATAAGAATAATACACGGAGGACGGAGCCTCTCTTTTCCTCCCCCTCTCCTGACAGCCCGTCAGTATTTTTGTTATCAGGAAATGATCGTATAGGGCGTAATCACGGAGCCGTTTGGCCCCCCAGAGCGTTGCCCCCGCAGATCTACCCACCTTGGGACCCGTTATCGTTATCTGCGTTTCCCTGTCGGACCCGTGTGGACGAACCGTCTATATCAGGGGTGTCGAACTCAAGGCCCGGGGGCCAAATCTGGCCCGCGACTTCATTTTATGTGGCCCGCAAGAGCTCTGAAAGAATATAATAAGTTTATTATACGGTTACATGATGATTTACAGAAGTACGTTGCCCATAAACTACATGTCCCACAATGCATCTCGTTTTGTGACATGCACACTGAAGAGACTTGCAATTATTTGCCCTGGACTTCTGCTTTCAGACGTAGTTAATTACGAAGTTATTACCCTATCCGATAATAACCCAATTCAGAGGCAATAATGTAATATAATACATTATTTGATATATATTATATATTTATATATGTATAAATGATATAGTTACAACCGGCCCTTTGAGTGTAACCATAATGCTAATGTGGCCCACGATGAAATTGAGTTCGACACCCCTGGTCTATATGATAGAGAACTGTAGCGGATACGACCCGTATCGTCTCCGTGTGGCTAGGGCATCAGCTGCTTGTTTTGATTTCACATTTGTGTTTTGGTTCAGTCTAACTTACTCATCAGTGACATTTCAAATAGCAGACAGCTGTTTTCAGTGAAAAACCTCAGATGAACCCACTTTGCCTTGCTTGGCAACTGTATTCTTGAGATATCACAAATCACCCATAAGTAATTATTGAGTTAAATCCTATTTATTTGTATTTGTATATGCATATGTTAATATATGTTCAAACTTTAGACATTATACATATTCAGGAATAATTGTAGTTGGTCTTCGGTCACATATCTCTCATTGGGTAAGGTAATTCTCTCTAGTCTCATAACATAGACATGCAGAGCTGTCTGCCCAGCACTGATAAGAGTTGAGACTGGCACAGCGCTCTCTGGTACGTGATGTTAAGTAGATAGGAAGTCGGAGACATTGATGTTACAGAGTCTTGCTAAGTTTGTTTTGACTATGATTGAAATGACTCATCTTTAGATAAAGAAGCTAACTTTTTACCTGATTTAGAGTGGCTGTGATGAGAAGAGATGGGCTTACAATGTGACTGCACACTTTAATTGAATTGTTCATCTTCTGTTACTCTTTGGCCAATCCTTTCAATGAATACCTTTGTAAGACATCAGATCCAAAGTTCCAGAATCTTCATTTTGTTTCCAGTCATTACTCCAAAAAACGAAATTGCTAAAATATATCTAGATATGCGCTGGCATGCACAGTAAATGTTCGTTATAAACAATAATCGCAACTCCTAAAGAGGTTAGCAGAGAAGCTGCAATAGCGGCAGTGGCTCAGTCAGTAGGGGCTTGGACTGGGAGCTGTAGGGTCGCCAGTTCAAGTCCCCGACCAGACCTAAAATATGGAGTGTGGACTGCTACTTGGAGAGGTCCCAGTTCACCTCCTGCCCTGCCGTGGTGCCCTTGAGCAAGGCACCAGACACCCCCCTTCCCCCCTCAAAATCAGAACTTGACAGTATTTCTTTAACTCACCACCTGCTTAGTAATGGTGTTTGAATTGGGGCCGTTCATCAGCAGCTGTAATCAGTGTGGGCCAGTCCGATCACAGGGTCGTGTGTGTGTGGCTGATTGAGGTCCTTTTGATGATAACATGTCTCTGTTGTTTCATTTAATTTTTGGTCTTTTTTTTACCAACTGTTTCTTTTTAGGTGAACTATATCCTGGAGTCCCGGGCCAGCACCTCTCGGGCTGATTACTTCGCCCAGAAACAAAGGAAACTCAGCCGCCGGACCAGCTTCAGCTTCCAGAAGGAGAAGAAGTCCGGCCAGTAGAAGGACGAGAAATGCTTAGCAACATAGACTGATGCTATAAAAATAAAATGAAATAGTAAATGCAAAAACGAGGCCTGTCTCTACACAGACAGCATTAGGTTACACGCAGCAAAGTGAAGACTGATAAGTGGAGTCGGAGTATGTGTCTCTGCTTCAGATAAACTGGTTGGAGGTCTCTGAAACTCCATGGGTGAAGATGGTCAACAAGCAAAAATATATGATGGAAAGAACCAGAGAATTGTTGGACAGAGTTTTGGCTGCCATGTCGCCATCAACTCTTGTTCTTTAACTGCCTTTTGAACATAGGCTGCCTCCCCAGGGATGGATTTGTACACCCAACAAACAAAACCGAGCTACATGCTAAACCTTTGAGTCTGTCCTGCATCTGTAACAGACCATTTTACATGACAACGTGAAAGGAAACTTTCACATGTTTTATGTACTGTACATAGACATTTTACATGCAGCAAATGAAAAAAGATTGAAATTGAAATGAAGACATCTTGTTTGTTTATTTTTTAAATAAGGTCAATCCCTTCTTCCTTGAATCCTTAACAATATGTCCACAGTTCCCCCAGCTAAAGGCTAAGGTCGGACCCAGCACTTTGTGTGTTTCATTGGAATGGTATCAAGGTTTTTTTCGGGGGACGCTGTGTTTGTTTACAGTTATAGTCCTATAATGGGTTATATTAAGGACAACATACGGGTTCTAGCTTACATGAATAAAGAGCACACTTGTATTTAATATAATCCAACATGTAAGGTCAATACTGAAACACTGAAGACCTTAAAACTAGATTTTTGACTCGGAGCCTCTCCAGAAGATTTGCCCTCGAGCTCACATAAGGATGCAAACCACTCGTCTCATGTTATAGCCTAACGTGATTAAGGGGTGCTCTTCTTAAGTTTGCAATTCATTTAATTACCACTAATGTATTGCTGTACAGTGACTGCAGTCTTTGGGCTCCTGGCGAGGGGGACATCTTTTCCTGATTGTTCATAAAAAAAATAGCCCTACATTCATGTATTTTTACGAGGATTTGGAAGAGATAAAGGGAGTCCTCTCCACCAACAGTTTTATTAAGAAACCCCCAAGACCAGTGGTTGAAGGCAACTTAGTACATTTACTCTACTGTACTTAAGCACAATACTGAGGTACTTTGACTTCACCTGAGTATTTTCCCATGATGTTACTTTACTACATTTTCAAGGCATTTTTAAAAACTTTTTATTCCACTACATTTATTTTACAATTTGTGTACTTTAAGTATATTTTGATGCCAACACTTTTGTACTTTTTTTTTATACCTGCTCTCTTGTAGTTCTACTTTTAAGTACCCAATCTCAGTACTTCTTCCACCTCTGCCCATCATTTGCAAGTGTGAGTGTTTACATGGAGGTTCAATGCGGAGGCTCCAGACGGGGGGGGGGCTTCTCCCACTCGCTCCCCGGATCACAATCACCTCCGACACAGCTCCACCCATGATGGCACACTAGCTGGAGAACCACAATGCAAACATAAACACAGCAGCAGCAGCAGCAGCAGCTCATGTGTTGCATTGCTTCGTTGATTTGAGCAATTTCGTAAACATGCAAGTCTCCCTAAAGCTGTGAAAAAACGGACACAGAGGAAAATACAGCTCGGTGGAATCCAACTGCTAACCTCGCCTGGTAAGTTGATTACTCGGCTAGTTAGCTTAGCATTAGCAGTGTGTGTTTAGGCGACACTTTATAGACCTTTGTTATCCCAGACGGTGGGATAACGTTATTACAGTGACTTAGATATACATTGAGATATAAACTATGCATTGTAAAATAAAAGTGTTGAAAATAAAAAAGCTAATGGTCACAGCTTTGCCCGTTGATTTCAGTTGGTGTTTGGTTACAGGCGAACGTTAGCTTGCTAGCTTGTTAGCTGTGTCGTATAGCTAATCTATCTTCAATCAACGGTCCGTGTAAACAAAAATGGCAGGTTTAAACCGAAAGTTGGCCATATTTGTACTCTCTGTAGGCTAATTTTGACGTATGAGTAGTGTTGCGACCATTGGATATAGAGAGCACGAAATGAAAGGGATTGCCTCTATTGTGGACCTTTTTGTTTTCCAAATAAATAAGCTGTTCTGTTCGATCCCAAGTCCCCTACATCTCCCAAATCGACCCAAAATGTATCAAAATCAGTTCACAGAGAGTACACATATGGAAATGTTCTGGTTTAAACTGCCATTTTTAATGCTGTATATGCCAGACATTGACTCTGCATCCTCAATAATCCCCATAACCACTCCAAATTGCACAATAATTGTTTTAACTATTGTCTCTATAGGCTATAATGGTAATTAATGCTAATGTATGTATACAGCTATTAGCTTACGTTGGTTACTATACATTTCAATACATTTTGTAAATTGGTTACGCCGATTTTAATCATAACTAATTTGTTACGCAGTGTACTAGTAGGTTAAACCGGTTATAAACACAGACGTTTCAAACACATTAATATGTCACTTGTGGTTGTCATACACTGTATATATGTATATATATACATATATATATATAAAGGTGTTTGTTTGAGTAAACAATGTGATTTTTAAATGGAGTTTTGTGAGCTCTGCATGACTGTATCTTAATGCACTGCCACACTTAAACAGACATTAAATACCTAGCTGCCACTTATGTGTTTAGATGTTAATTTGTCATTTTTACTTTTTTAAGACTGATTGATTCACTTAAAAAGAATCACTAGGTTATCTGTAATCCCACAATACCATTCTTCCCTGGCTAAGTCATGCAGCACAGACTGTGGGTATGCATCCATGTCCTTTCATTGGATTGTCAGACCTTATTGCTCAGCCTTGAAAAATGCAGTGTATTTTCCCCATCTGTGATACCAATCTTAACATAGAGCTATGTGAGAGGCTCAACTCTGACTGGGTAGGAAAACATCTGGGGTTTTAGACTGTTGGCTAACTAAACAGTCATTTGAAGATTCTTCAACCTGAGATACACTAATATTGAGTCAGCCAGCCTTTTGTTGACTCTCTCTGTGTCACAGCTCAGAACAGATGACTGGTTGTTAAGGCCATGCTATGCAGGAGGCCTCTGGTATCCAGGCAGCTTAAATAAGGTTCCTTTCTTCGTCTACATCCCGCCCTGAATGTTTATTATCATGCTGCTAAATTGCTGTAAGGTCTGCACAATTAGGTTCAAAATTATAACCAGGATTATTTTATCCAGTTGATATCAGAATTATTGTGCAGCATATTTGTATTGCACTTAAATAAACAGAGCCCTGCTTTCACCTCTACATACCTGCAATTGTACAAAATGAGGGTCACACATTACCTACCAGATCAGGAATGTATTGCAATATGTATTGAGATTAAAACAAAATACAAGAACCCCTTCATTTGTAGGCTACATTTTAAAGTGTAGAATGAACCACTCTCATGCACTTGACAGCAAAATTATAATGTTATATTACAAGGATAGAACATGTTAAGCTCATTCAGACAAATACATTTGTAAACACATTGGTATGTGAATGGAGATACCACAGCAAAACGCGGATGGACCTGCTGTTTTAGGATTACAGATAAACAGTATATCACCTTTCCCCTCTGGACTGTGGTTGCAACATTAAAGGAAGACATTCACAGGATGCAGCTGCTGGGTGTGTCTGCAGTGGGATGATAGCCCTCCAAAAGTTAGGGCATGACATCTGGATCACTGGCTGGTGTCTGGCTCTTTAGGAAGAGCTTCATTTGACACACAGCCTGAGCAGAGCAGGTATGGAGTCATTACAATTGTGTTTATTGTGCATCCCCGTGTTGTGGTATATTCAATTCTTTGTTTTGATGTTCTAATCTAACTCTTCAGTGCATGCCTCCCTTTGTGTGCAGCGAGCAGGAGAGCAAACCGTTTTTTTGAGCGCAGTGAAGATGTTGTTTTTGAAAGGTAATGCCAACATATATGGATTGAACATCATACCATTTTTTTGTGAATTTGTAAATTATTTCATAGCTTTTGGAAAGGTTTGGATCACATGTGTCGAAAAACAGTCATAAGCTAGAATCTAATTCTAAAAATAGAATCATATTCGCCATCAAGCCTATTTGTAAATGATAGCCTACCCTACACTTCTGTCTGCTTTGTGTGCATGTATCCTCTGCTGTTTTCTGTCAGACAGATTAAAAAGCAGATAAGACAGCAGGAAGACAAGTATTTTAAAAGTTTAAATTCAACATCAATGCCAATTCCCTAGGTCACAGTTTTGATATCAACACATTTAAGAGAACTGACAAAGCTTATGATCATAACATCAGATCTGACAGCTCAATATCTGTATGTGTAGATTAAAAAGTCCAGCCGTTAAAGGAAATGGAAGAGCACATTTAGCTCACCTTCATTTCAGGTCAAATCACCCTTCCAAGCATCTCTCTCTCCGTTAAAATGTTTAACCTGTCACGGTGCTTTTGTTGCAGAACGCTACGAAGATGCCTGAAGTTCGGGAACTTTCTGAGGCTTTGCCAGAGATGCCAATGGACCCAATCACTGGAGTTGGAGTAGTGGCCTCCAGGAACCGGGCCCCCAGCGGATATGATGTGGTGAGTTACTGAACTCACACCAAGGGCTGGGTATCAATTAGTGTTTAACAATTCTGAATCTGCTAGTTAATACGGCTTTTAGCCATTCTAGATTCAGTTTCTTTGAGCAAGTCTCCTGCTTTCTTCTCATGAGGAAAACTAATATTTCATACTTAATTCACATTCATTTATATTCACAACTCATACTCGATTCACATAAGAATCACGATTCTATCTCTGCCGATTCAGAATCGATTCAGAAATTCCAAGAACCGATTCACATTTTTCAGTCTTGCCGCAACGCTGTTTTCCATTTTTTTTCTACGGCGTGAGCTCCGTAATGTCCCGCTAACATGGCACTTAGACTTTATGCAGCATCCAGGGAAACACACCAGGAAATCCTCTCCACTCGGTCCGCTCGTCATGCCTCACAGGGCGGACTCCTGAGCTATTTTGAATCACGAATCGATTGTGAATCGAATCGTGACCCCAAGAAATCGAATCGAATCATGAGAATTCCTGAATCGTGCACCCCTACTGTTTTTACATGTGATTCCAATTGAACACATCATCCTAACGTTGTAATTTAGCTCCGCCCAATTCAAATGTTTTACTGAATAGAGCATGCATGTTAGGGGGACAGAGAGGAAAGGTGGATGCTCCGACAGGAAACAGCTGTTGGTGAGACGGAGCGGAGATCAGCAAGAGTGCTACAAAAAATGAGGCGTTCAATTCAGCAGTTAAAAGATATTAGCTTATATATCAGGATCAGAATCAAGTTTATTGCCAGGTACGTTTACACATACAAGGACTTTGCTTTGGTATCTGGTGGTGTGAACATAAACAATCTAAGAAAATAAGTTGCAAAGTAGGTAAAAAAAAAATATATATATAAGGATAATACAAATTAAGTATTTTTAAGAAACAATTTAGCATAAAAAAGGATGCTCCAGACAAGTATTTTCACCAAATGTTAATGTAACTATACAAATAACCTTAAAAGCAAAAAAATATAAGCTTAAATAAAAGCCATTCAAAGAAATCAGATGTGATTATTCCAGGTGGAGGGAAAGGTGGACGACGTGTTTAAAGAAGGCTCTGAGCTCCACATATTGTTACCGTTGTTTCAGCTTCAGTTTGACCTCTCTGCCTCCAGGTGTCCACCACCACAGACGGCCTGGACGCTGACCTGTGGAAAGACGGCCTCTTCAAATCCAAGGTGACGCGCTACCTGTGCTTCACCAGGGTCTTCTCGAAAGAAAATGTAAGTCCTCTCCTCTCACCGACCTGCCGTTGCATGTTACAATCTTACGTCATACATGTAGCATTTGAATGATTTTATCTTCTTCTTCAGAGCCATTTAGGCAATGTTCTGGTGGACATGAAGCTGATTGATATAAAGGACACTCTGCCTGTTGGATTCATCCCCATCCAGGAGACTGTTGACACTCGTAAGTTCTCAAGTCCAGTAGAAATACACTGATAGCATCGCTGTGTGCAAAAACATTGGGTTAGTAAGGACCTCCTGATAAGAGCTGCTGTGTTAAAGGTCTCCTATTATACTGTTTTCCATCAATATAATACAGATCTTAGATATATACAGAACATGTCTCTGATTGGCTCCAAAAACCAAACAGATCATTGCAGCATCCCATAATCCCCTCTGTTTCAGCCCTGTTTCAAAAGTGCTGATTCTGTGTCTGTAGCTTTAAATGCTAATGAGCTGCTGCTGGCCACGCCCCTCTGGGAGATGATTGGTTTAAAAAAACAAAAACACAATGGTGCTCTAGGAGGAGATTCAGGTGACCTTGGTTGCTGATTGGCTAATGGTTACACAAGCCAAAACATCGTTATGACATCATAAAGTGGCCGAAATCTGATCAGCTCATTTTCAGACAGGTTTTTATAGAAATGGATCAGGACAAAAAGAGAGAGAATCTTTGTTCCTGAAACTTTCAGAGTCTCTTTACACAGAGGGGACACATGTTGATGAAGAAGAGACATGAAGAAGAGGGGACACATGTTGATGTAGAAGAGACATGAAGAAGAGGGGACACATGTTGATGTAGAAGAGACATGAAGAAGAGGGGACACATGTTGATGAAGAAGAGACATGAAGAAGAGGGGACACATGTTGATGTAGAAGAGACATGAAGAAGAGGGGACACATGTTGATGAAGAAGAGACATGAAGAAGAGGGGACACATGTTGATGTAGAAGAGACATGAAGAAGAGGGGACACATGTTGATGTAGAAGAGACATGAAGAAGAGGGGACACATGTTGATGTAGAAGAGACATGAAGAAGAGGGGACACATGTTGATGTAGAAGAGACATGAAGAAGAGGGGACACATGTTGATGTAGAAGAGACATGAAGAAGAGGGGACACATGTTGATGTAGAAGAGACGTGAAGAAGAGGGGACACATGTTGATGTAGAAGAGACATGGAGAAGAGGGGACACATGTTGATGTAGAAGAGACATGAAGAAGAGGGGACACATGTTGATGTAGAAGAGACATGAAGAAGAGGGGACACATGTTGATGTAGAAGAGACATGAAGAAGAGGGGACACATGTTGATGTAGAAGAGACATGAAGAAGAGGGGACACATGTTGATGTAGAAGAGACATGAAGAAGAGGGGACACATGTTGATGTAGAAGAGACATGAAGAAGAGGGGACACATGTTGATGTAGAAGAGACATGAAGAAGAGGGGACACATGTTGATGTAGAAGAGACGTGAAGAAGAGGGGACACATGTTGATGTAGAAGAGACATGAAGAAGAGGGGACACATGTTGATGTAGAAGAGACATGAAGAAGAGGGGACACATGTTGATGTAGAAGAGACATGAAGAAGAGGGGACACATGTTGATGTAGAAGAGACATGAAGAAGAGGGGACACATGTTGATGTAGAAGAGACGTGAAGAAGAGGGGACACATGTTGATGTAGAAGAGACGTGAAGAAGAGGGGACACATGTTGATGTAGAAGAGACATGAAGAAGAGGGGACACATGTTGATGTAGAAGAGACATGAACAAGGTGGATTCTTCACAATAGGTGACCTTTAACTTTCAGTAACTAACCCTAAGGTCTCTAGTAGTGTAGAGTCATTGAGCTCGGTGTGCTGGTTTTCCCACAGAGGAGCAGGCCTTCAGGAAGAGGCGACTCTGTATCAAGTTTATTCCTCGGGACTCCACAGAGGCGGCCATCTGTGACATCCGCATCCTGGGACGCTCCAAACAAGCCCCCCCTCAGTACACCTTCATAGGGTGAGCAGCTTTTTTAAATGTTATATTTAACACTGCTATCATCCCGCTACCACACAGTATTCCACAATGTTGTATTATTTAATAGATACTGCTTAACTGTGTGCATTCCTTTTGATCTAATAGTGTTATTCTGGTTTTTCGTCTCTGTCTACACTGCTGTACCCTCCTATGGGACGAATAAAGGAATTCTCATTCTGTTGATTTCAGTTTAGGTTTTACACTTGACAAATACATGTTATTATAAGATCTCAATCTTAAAGGTAGGGTAGGTAAGAATGGAGAAACCAGCTCGAGTGCGCTAGAATTTTCAAAGATGGAAACTTTCCATGGGAATAAACTTTTCAAAATTGAAGGTTGGCTCTTCATAGGGAACTTAAATATATAAATATATATTTTAGCATAGTCTTGACTAAAACAAACAGATGCCATTCAAGTACACTTGAATATCCATGCCATTCCTCAATCACATGCACATAGCACACTGCTTACTGCATGGCTATTGAGACCACACCCCCTACAGCAGGGATGGGCAACTTGGATGGTGGTGGGGGCCACATAATGTATGTACTGGCCACCATGGGGCCGCAGATTCACTTGGAACACACACACACACACACACAAATTAGTAGTAGTGGCGGCTCAAGTTGCTTACTTTCATTACAGCAACGGTCTGCAAACATACTCAACATTGTGGTTTACCCCTGAGTTCAGTGAAAAGATATTCTTTCTCCCACTTTTCTTGGAAAACACGATTTTCCTCAGATACCTTTCTCTTGCTCATGCTGACATCCACAGAGGGCTGTGCTCATATGTGACCCGCTCTATCGAAATCAGTCGGAAGTCGCAACGTCTCATTTCAAAAATAAAATTATACAATTCGATTACATGACCCTCAATTCCCAGTTAGTTCCCATGGAAAGTGTCCAATATGGAATATTTCCAAAATTAACTTCCCATGGAAATGTACCGTAAATGTCCCGCCCCTTTGCAACCCCACACAGCGGTCAGGCTTGTCTCTTCATGTATATAATCCAAGGTACAGACAACAAAGACAGATTCAAGACTTGACTTGTGAAAGCAAAAGCATTGAAGTTTCAGAATCAGGTTTATTACCAGGCAGGTTCACACATACGAGGAATTTGACTTGCTGTTGTGGTGCTTACATCAAAGAAAACAAGGATTAACAACACAGATAGAAAACTATAATTACATTAAAATATATAGTAAAAAATACATTGAATATGGTTTTAATCCTAGAAATAGAATTGAATAAAATATGTGATTCACTTAGATGTGGAGGTTTGAAACGTAAATATTAAGTGTGTGCTTAAAGAGAATTAAAGAAGCATACATTCATCTCAGAACGACCTCCTCCCTATATTCGATAAATGTGGGATGTAAAATGGAGTACTTCTGCTTAACAGTGTTTATTCCCTTGTCTTACAGAGAGCTCAACAACATGGGTATCTGGTACCGCATGGGGAACGTACCCCGAGCCCAGGACTGCTCTCACACTCCCTCCACTAACAACATCCAGAATGTGAACTCCAGTGGACCCGCTCCGGTACCAGCCGCTGCTATGCCCAAGTATGTGCACTGTAATTCACTGTCGTCCATCTCAGACAGATCTGCATCTACACACATGTCTGATTCACTGTGCTCAGTCCTGATTCTAAAAAACAGGATGTGTGCTCTCCTTAGAGGGAATGGGAAGTTGGGAAATGTGATGCTTAAAGGTCCTTACACACCAAACTGACACCAAAGAACACGTCCCGACGGGAACAGCCAACAAAAATACTTCATAGACATGTTTTTTACATATTTTTATATATCTGAGACCTATGCTATTGCCTAAAAATAGCATGATAGGTGACCTTTAACACATGCATCAAACCGTGTCAACGCATGAGAAATATAGGATGAAAACTCCCTGTCGCATGTATTTACACACATAAGCAAATAGTCCCAGGCTACCTAATACCTCCAAAGAGACAGCTGCTTTTCGGTAAATGTTACATTGTCGGGAGAAGGAGCAGCACTGAACTAGAAATGAATGAAGAGAGGAAGCTAAGCCAGAACAGAGCAGTACATTCAGAGAAACACAACGTTATTTTCTGATCGTTTCAAGGTGGTTACACTCAAGTACAATTAAACACACCTCCCCACACCACAGGAAAGTGCATGAGAGGAAGTTATTTACCGATCCCTTAAAGGAGTTGACTTGTGGTTAAAATAAAGGCAGGAGAGAAAACACCTGAGAGCCTCCAGCTGTTTCCAGTCCGTTCCTCTGCACCTGCTGCAGGTTCCCAAGTGTTTGTCAGACACAGAAGTACAGAAGTAAAGACTGAACTATTTGTTTTGGAAAACAGTCCCAGGTGATAATGTTGTGTGTTTTTATTCTTTTTGTTTCCTAAGACATATCTCCATGACGCTCCCAGCCAGCTTCAGAGGGAAGAACACGACCAGACCGGACTACGAGCACCAGAACTCCAACCTGTACGCCATCTCAGGTCAGCGCACACACACAGACACAGACACACAGACACACACACACACACGCACACGCACACGCACACACAGACACACACAGACAGACAGACACACACACACACACACGCACACAGACAGACACACACAGACACACACACGCACACGCACACGCACACACAGACACACACAGACAGACAGACAGACAGACAGACAGACAGACACACACACAGACACACACACACACACACACGCACACAGACAGACACACACAGACACACACACACACACACACAGACACACACACACAGACACACACAGACACACACACACACAGACACAGACACACAGACACACAGACACACAGACAGACACACACACACAGACAGACAGACAGACAATGAACCAAGTCAAATGCAAAACACTATCATTGGGAGCGTGTTAGCTTGTTGATGTTAGCATTACGCTCAAAGCACTGCTGTACAAACTCATGTTTGTGTTTAGTTCCCCCCATAGATCTAACCCTCTTAATATTTCTCTCCCAGTGCACTAGATTGATGCTTTTAAAGGGACCCTTTCTCCTTCCTGTAGTGTGTTATATAGACGTGGTGCATGTAAAAGGTCTGCAAAGGATAACATCCCTGTGTTCCCTTCAGAGGGAGTTTCTCTCCAATGAATGAACTTGAAAATGATCATAAAAGAGCCCCTTTAACTTTACAATGTATGAACTTCCATGGTCGACCACTTTGCTTTGCTTTTGCTTTTACTATTCCTGAATACATGTATTTTATATTTCCGCTCTGCTGCGGCTCTAAAATGGAACTTGTGTTTGTCTCTCTCAGCGATGGATGGAGTGCCTTTCATCATCTCGGATAAGTTTGCCTGTGCCTCGTCTGACGTAAGTAGCCTCACAGTTTCCTCTCTGCTGGCAGCCTGGCCTGATGGAGACTCACAGATTTCTATATGTGTTGACTAAACCACTGTCTGCTCTCCATGTGCAGCTGCAGCAGGTGGACCTGATGGGCATCACCATCAAGTCACTGGCTGAGATCGAGAAAGAGGTTAGTAGAACAATGTTATTTAGTTACTATAGTTCATATCATTTTGATAGTATAAATTGTTGGGAAATTAAGTTTATTTCAGATTAAAGTCATTTCAAATCTATCTTTTATGATGACTTATGGCACATCTCCACTGCAGCGCGTAGCACGGTTTAAGTGTGCCGTGCCAAACCCGGCCCGTTTTTTGTTGCGTTTCCACTAGGGGTAGTTCCGGCTAGCGGGTACTATTCACAGTTTTTCTGGCTCTCCAAAATCGTGGTTCTTTCCGGGCCAACAACCGGGCTGAGTATGCTAAACTAGTGAGAGAATCGCTGGCAAGGGGGCTACAACTACAACAAGATGAACATATTTGACCGTGATTTAATTGTAATACACGTTTCAAAATGATGCCGAAGTAACAACATACTGATACCGGTTAGTAAAAACCATGAATTAATGCTTTGACAAGTCTGCAGACAGACGGCAGGCGAAACACCTTTTAAAATGCGTGTTTTCTGAATGGAGATCGGCTAAGCTAACGTTGTATATGCTCCGACCGTCCACACTCACAACAACGGCCTATACAGACATAAATAAAGCAGCGACTGTATTCACCATGACACAGGCAGTCTGTGGTTTGTACTTGTTTAACTTTTGTCTAGTTTCTGAACATATATGAGGAGCTGTGAGCTCTGAGTGCTAACAGCTAACGGCTGATGTTGGTTTTGTGGTTCGCATTGAAGATGACGTCACGGCTCCGCCTACACTGCGTTACTATAGTTACTGCCCCAGTTCCTAAACTGTAATGGAAACGCAGCATAAAGTGAGCCTGGCCTACCAAGGCCTAACTATACCGTACTAAGCCGTGCGAGGCCCTGCAGTGGAAATGCGCCATTACTAGTCTCCAGTCACAGGTATCAAACCCTGAGTATACACAACCACCAGTTATTTAGAATACACATGTCTGTCTAACCAATGGGAGCAGAGCACAGAGACATGTTGATTACATCAGTAACATCTGTCTGCTAATTGCATGACAATGGTCACCCTACTGTGTGTCAATAGTAGCAGACAGAGGGACATCAGGCATGTGTATTACAGCTGTGGAGAGAAACAGAAACAGTAGAGACAAAATATAACTAAATGACACCTCAATGATATATTTAATACACACTGTGCCCACCAGAGGTCATCTGCTGTGTCCCACGTGTGATATTAAGTCTTAATTCATCCATACCTTCCATATTGTAACATAGTATGGGCTTTCCCAACTACTCTCCATGAAAGTGTCCCTTCAGACACGCTTTGTACAGATTATGACATCAAATTGTTGTTTTATTTTACAAAAATCATTTCAGGTAAAGGCACTTTAATACCTACTAAATTCACAGATTCGTTCTTATGCAAAACGCCACTAATCAGGGGAACAAAGATCTGCCTGACCTTCCAATCAAAGCAGAAAACTGGCGGCATGGCTTTTAAAAAGATCACATGACCCCTGGATGAGACCTGGTTTTCAGAGTCACATCAGTGTTAGGCGCCGTTTACACGAGGAGAAAACTGCTTGTATCTGCATAGTTTCGCGTGCGTATAGCCCTATTATTTACACGAGGCCGATAGAAACTGACCCCACAAACGATAACGGGTCCCAAGGTGGATAGATTTGCAAACGAAACGCTCTGGGGGGTCAACCGAGTCCGTGTAATCACCTCTATACGAATATTTCCTGAAAAAATAACGATAGCCCCGCCTCTCCCCACCTCTCCTGCTCACTGCTGTAGCAACTATCAAAAATAGCTGTGTTAATTAAACGCACAAGGGGTTCTTGAATGAAATAATATTATAAAAGGCAAACCAGAATTGTTAACGCCCAATATACTCCTTAAACAAAATAAACAGAGTCAGATTTCATGCATTGATCCATTATATTGACAATTTTCCAGCCAAACAACACAAACAAAATTAAACAGTCCGCTCTGCGATACACCAAAATTGTCTTTACTGCCTAATCCAGGCCATTATTGTTCATTGCTCCTGCGCCCGTCGGCGGCAAAAAGAGAAATGTTTGTAGGCAGAGGACCGGCGTGTCCCAGAGGAGCGATCTCACCCGGTGTTTGTAGAGAATATCTCTCTTTCTGAGCGCGTCCTCTCCACGGAGACGTGCTTCTTGGTCGGTCGATGCAATATCCACAGATTCGGTTTCTTTCAGTTAACTTCCCGTTGCATTTATCCATATGCTGAGGAAATGACTATATCCCGCTGAATACCAGCAATCGCCACACACACTTCCTCCTGTCAGTAGCTACTGCTAGTGCTACTGCTACTGACCATGCTACAGATATTAGTGCAAAATCTACAGCTCCTCTACCACAACCATCAGCAACAAGTGGACATGGAGAATTACATGAACTACATGTTGCTAAATACACGGCGGGGCATGAACAGAAGGGTAGCCATGGCAATATTGCTGCGGGGCTGCTCTTCTTCGCTGCTTTTGGTGTATTTTGGCGGAAGTTACAGCGCCACTTACAGTCCCGGCATATGTACTACAGCGTTTCCAGCGGCCTCGTTTGAACAGACACGTTAAATGAAACGAATGCATGTGAACGGAAGACTTTTTTGAATACGCATACTGTGCATAAACGCAAACGTTCCCGTGTGAAGGAGGCCTTAGTATATTTACATTTGAATATCTTGTTCTTTTCTTTGCCATTTTTATTGAATTCAAGCAATTGTTTGTATATTGATGTTGTGTTTTATATAAAAATATAAAAAGCATTATTTAGTTAGAGGTTTTGCATGTTTTGCCTCTTCCTGCACTGTTTATCATCAGTTATCTGTTATGTTTGTGTATTTTAAATTGTGCAAAAGCCTTAAATGTTAATAATGTCCCCCTTCCTCTGCCAGTATGACTACAGTTTCCGCACAGAGCACAGTGCAGCGGCCCGGCTCCCCCCCAGCCCCACCAGGACCACCCTGAGCTCGGAGGCCTGAGGACCCACGCCGTCCTGAGAGGAAAACACACTCCTGGGAGACGTCTTTTGTTTTGAATGTGTACAGGAAGTTAAACTCTGAGGATCTGCGTCTGAAACCCACTACCAACAACATTATGATGGGATGGAATCGCTCATTGTTGGACAGAACAGATGCAATCCCACTCGTATGATGACTTTAAATACATTTATTTCCTCGAGAGAATCGGTGAGGACTTGTTCCAAACTAGAAAGGATTACATAGGAGGACATTTTCTTCTGATGGACGGCTCTCTGAAATCCAGTGAGAGCGGCATTATGTTGGCCTTTTGTGTTCATCAACCCCAATGCGCTGTGATTGGCCGAAATCACGGTAACCCCTCCCATTATATGTGTTGCAAAGACAAAAGGAAAAAGCCCCGTGAGTGATGGGGGGACGCCTGTCATTGCTCGCTACATATTACTGTGATATACTGGTGTGTTTGATATCCTTTCACACCTGATTCACACCGTACCACTCTCATGGTTTACATAGAAGTGAAGAACACTTTTTTCAGTACCTTACTTTCAAATACTATGAACATAAACACATTTACAGACGGTATAGTAGGAGGAACACTCCCAGTTTATCCTCCTTGATAAAGAGTAGAGCCAGGCATGAACAAAGTGTTTAAACAAGTTACATTTCACCAGAGTTCATTGATAGCACATTAGCTGCTGTTACATTTTACTGTACTGCTCAGTTTTAGTATTAACTGCAGACCTCGGCATTAGAAGCAGAAACGTTCACATGTTACATCGAGAAAACTGCAGCTCGCACTAAATCTGCTAATCTTGAGTTTATGGTTAATACCTTTGTGGAAAAACCTAGATGTTAAAGTATTAATTTGTTTTTATTACCACTACAGACACTGAGGTTTGATACCCAGCTTTAGTTTCCTCACGTCACTCTTAGCTTCTTTAGGTTACCTTTCTAGGTACACAAGCAAACAGATGTTGTGCTGTTGATGCTGGTTTTCCATCATGCACGATCAACGGCGAAGATAATAACTGTATTTGACACATTGATTACAAGTGAATAAGCAAAGTGTATCTCTCTCGCTAATTGAGCTACACTTTGACTTTGATTGTAGCCTGAGGTGGTTTTAGGAGTCTTATTCATTTCAGTTTGAACTCATTTCCCGTGTCAACTCCAACTCAAAAAAGTCCAAAATCGACCTTGAAGGGATTCTTATCAGGATCATTATGACCTAGAGATAATCCCAATTATTCCATACATACATACATAACATTTGAATCATTATGGCCTAGTGATAATCCCAATTATTCCATACATACATACATCACATTTTAATCATTATAGCCTAGTGATAATCCCAATTATTCCATACATACATACATCACATTTGAATCATTATAGCCTGAACATACTGGATTATTTTACCCTAATATCGACAGCTGTTATTAGTTTTGTAAGCATTAACATACTGGAGGATTGTACAGTGTGTGGTTCAACCCGTCAGTGCCCTCTGGTGGACAAACTCTGAAATGGAGACACTTGATTGACCTCACATGTATCTGACCTTTCTGTCTTACTTACAGGCAAACATGCCACGATGAAACTCTCAAATATTGTCCAGAGCCTGAGTTCTCTTGTTTAACAAATATATGTCGTCATATATATGTTTTTTTTTAGATATTTTAATATGCCTTTTTAATGCAATCTCAAACCTTTTCGGTGTGTTGTTCATTTCAGCAGCGTACAAAAAACACGGGCTGCTGGTTTTCTGTACTGCAAATGAAGCGCTACACTTACTGCACGAATCACAAGTTACATAATCGTTTCCGGGTAGGACTCAATGTGAGCGAGATTACTTAAAAACATTTCCTTTATGTTAATGCAGTATTGTGTTGAGAAGCACACCGTTTTAATTCACTCCATTTGTTTCTGCAACGTTACCACAAATGCTCGGATTAACTTCTTATTTTATATTTTTTGTTCGTCTAATTTATTAGTCATTGCCGCATTGTGAGCATATTGTCCTGAAGGCTTTGTGGTGTTTTCAGAAATGTTAAAATTGTCGATTGCACTGCTCTCACATGCTCTGTGATAACGCTCATTTCTCCGCAGCTCGCCAACGTTGTGTCTGCATTAACAACAGAAACACTCCCTTTTAATGTGTGTGTGTGTGTTAGTGTGCATGCACGGAGCCAGAGGTTTCAATAGGAACGTTATTTTTGTAGGTTATTGAGAAAACGTCACCGATTTTTTGTCTTGTAGATTATCTTCACTAAACAATGAACAAAACAGCATCAGTTAATTTGTATTATAAGGAAGTCGTATTAAACTATGATGAAAGGAAGCCTCTGACTTTGGTTTGATTTTAGTACGAATGTCACTTTACGCCTGATTTGTGAGCTGGATAAACAATGCTTGATTTGTCCCTATAGGAACATTTCTGTCTTCATCATTTTTTAAACTGTTCATTAACGCTGGCTGTTATCACACACTTTCCATTAGCCTTCATCCTTAAACCCTGGCTGCCTCCGACACTTCTTGAAAGGGTTTTAGAATAACAAAAAGGCCTTGTGGAGTCATGAAGATTGCACCTTTCAAAGATCTCAAGTTAGTTTTTATACCGGGTTCCATAAAAGCTTCAAAGACAGATCACAGTGAGCCTCAGAAACCTCAGCCTCTTTGAGTTAGCACGCACTGTTTCAGCTTCATCTCTCTGTATCAAACACAAATCAATTAGCTCTCCAGCAAACATGTGGCTTCTCTACAGACAGCTGCTGCCACCGTGGAGCTTTAACAATAGTGAAGTAACCAATAACACCGAGAACAGAAGTGTAAACACGTCATGTTCGTTTGACCTGACTTTATCTGTTGTTCTCAATCAAAGATACAGATGTTCCAGTTCCTATTAGACTAGTTTTAGTAAATGTGCAAACCATAATAATTGGAGAAAGTAAGAAATATGTAGTCGGAGGTCAAAATGAAATGCTCATTATTTGGTTGTATATAGTTTTAGAGCTAGTACGCTCTATAGGAGGTATAGTTAAAACACACACACACACAAAGTGCTTTGTACTGGTCACACCACACTACTTTAAGACTGTAAAACAAATTTTCCACAGCCTCTCCAGCAGCTCTCACACACGTCTCTGTAAACACACAGGTTATAAAATGTGTTTACAAGGTCGAGAGCTGCCGCTGGTTTCCTGTGAAAATGTTTTACAGCTATCTCTGACAAAAGCTGCTCGTTAAGACGATAGGAAAGATGGAAATCAATGTGTGGGGCACATGTCATCAAACGGTGTGTACATGTGTTGCGTTACGTCTACAGGCGTGTGATGTATGATACGATCTAACCTCTGTTTTCTCTTCATGTTTTATCAGCAGCTGTGTGCAGAGGAGCTGTTACAGTGTGTTCATTATTCTCCATCTTCAGTAGCACCACAGAGAAGTTCTGGCACCGAGTGACTGCAGATTAAGGGTTGATGAAGTTGATTTCTATCAAATAGCTCCGTCACAAATGTAAGTTTTATTTTAGATGTGTATTTACAGTTACATATCTATCTATATCTCTTTGCAGGTGTAAGTGAATCTATTTGTACAGCAGAGAAAGGCACCACATTTACTGTAGTGATTTAGAGGCTCCAAAACTCTCCTCTGCCGAAACCAGGGATCGAACCAGGGACCTTTAGATCTTCAGTCTAACGCTCTCCCAACTGAGCTATTTCGGCACAAAAGGTCACCGAACAATGGTCATTAAAACAACAGCTCAAACCATGTGCCTAAAACCCTACTTTTAAACCGGGGATCGAAACCAGTGACCTTTAGAAATTCAATCTTACGCTCTCCCAACTGAGCTATTTACTCACAAAGAATGCACTACAGAGGCAGTCATTAAAACATGTAAACAACCCCTCGTGAAAAAGACAGGATCTTCAGAAAGTGCACTTTAAACTAATACTAGATGACAGATTGGCTTTTAATTAGTATTCATCTGAATTTTTACATTGCCGGTACAAGTGCAGCTGTATGTAGAACAGAGAAAGGCACCATATCAGACTGATATAATCCAGGAGCTCTAATCATGGAGCCAACTTGTGCTCAAAAGTCTCCTCTGTTCTGCCAAAACCAGGGATCGAACCAGGGACCTTTAGATCTTCAGTCTAACGCTCTCCCAACTGAGCTATTTCGGCACAAGAAACGATAAAACAATGGCAATCTGACAAACATTAAAACAACAACTCGTGAAAAAGACAGCATTTTTTGATACGATCTAACCTCTGTTTTCTCTTCATGTTTTATCAGCAGCTGTGTGCAGAGGAGCTGTTACAGTGTGTTCATTATTCTCCATCTTCAGTAGCACCACAGAGAAGTTCTGGCACCGAGTGACTGCAGATTAAGGGTTGATGAAGTTGATTTCTATCAAATAGCTCTGTCACAAATGTAAGTTTTAGTTTAGATATGTATTTACAGTTACATATCTATCTATATCTCTTTGCAGGTGTAAGTGAACCTATTTGTACAGCAGAGAAAGGACAGGAATGTTGTGTCCGTTGTGCTCGGAAACAGGCATGGTCTTGTGTGTGAACACATCAGGTTGTTGGATGGAAACAACAGCTCAAACCATGTGCCTAAAACCCTACTTTTAAACCAGTGACCTTTAGAGATTCAATCTAATGCTCTCCCAACTGAGCTATTCTTGTGTGTGAACCATAGACTGGTGTGAACACATCAGGTTATTGGTTGAAATTGTCTCACCACATTTACTGTAGTGATTTACTGGCTCCAAAACTCTGCCGAAACCAGGGACCTTTAGATCTTCAGTCTAACGCTCTCCCAACTGAGCTATTTCGGCACAAAATGTCACCAAAACAGTCTGTTACAAACATCAAAATAATATCTAAAAGAAAAAGACAGGATGTTCGGAAAGCTTGTTTAACTAATACTAAGTATCATTGTCTGTCAGTGAATATTCTACATTGCAGGTATAGGTGAACATATGTGAAGAACAGAGAAAAAACATGATTTTCAGAAAGGGCACTTTCAACTAATACTAGGAGACAAATTGGCTGTCAATTAGCATTATAATTGTTACATTGCAGGTATAAGCGAACCTGTAATTAGAACAGAGAAATCAGACTGCTATAATCCAACAGCTCTAATCATGGAGGCAACTTGTGCCCAAAAGTCACCTCCTCGCTGCCGAAACCAGGGATCGAACCACAAACATCTCCAAACAATGGCAGTCTGCCAAACATTAAAAATAACACCTCGTGAAAAAAAGACAGCGTTCTCTGAAAGTGCACTTTCAACTAATGCTAGATGGCAGATGAGCTGTCACTTAGCATCTGATTGTTACAATGCAGGTATTAATGAATTTACTATATGTAGAACAGAGAAAGGCACCAAATCAGACTGCTATAATCCAGCAGCTTTTACCATGGAGGCATCTTGTGCCTAAAAGTCTCCTCTGTTCTGCCGAAACCAGGGATCGAACCAGGGACCTTTAGATCTTCAGTCTAACCCTAACCCAACTGAGCTATTTCGGCACAAGAAACGATAAAACAATGGCAGTCTGACAAACATTAAAATAACAACTCGTGAAAAAGACACAATTTTTGATACGATCTAACCTCTGTTTTCTCTTCATGTTTTATCAGCAGCTGTGTGCAGAGGAGCTGTTACAGTGTGTTCATTATTCTCCATCTTCAGTAGCACCACAGAGAAGCTCTGGCACCGAGTGACTGCAGATTAAGGGTTGATGAAGTTGATTTCTATCTATTTTATCACAAATGTAAGTTTTATTTTAGATGTGTATTTACAGTTACATATCTATCTATATCTCTTTGCAGGTTTAAGTGAATCTATTTGTACAGCAGAGAAAGGCACCACATTTACTGTAGTGATTTAGAGGCTCCAAAACTCTCCTCTGCCGAAACCAGGGATCGAACCAGGGACCTTTAGATCTTCAGTCTAACGCTCTCCCAACTGAGCTATTTCGGCACAAAAGGTCACCGAACAATGGTCATTAAAACAACAGCTCAAACCATGTGCCTAAAACCCTACTTTTAAACCGGGGATCGAAACCAGTGACCTTTAGAAATTCAATTTTACGCTCTTCCAACTGAGCTATTTACTCACAAAGAATGCACTACAGAGGCAGTCATTAAAACATGTAAACAACCCCTCGTGAAAAAGACAGGATCTTCAGAAAGTGCACTTTAAACTAATACTATATGACAGATTGGCTTTTAATTAGTATTCATCTGAATTTTTACATTGCCGGTACATGTGCACCTGGTATGTAGAACAGAGAAAGGCACCATATCAGACTGATATAATCCAGGAGCTCTAATCATGGAGCCAACTTGTGCTCAAAAGTCTCCTCTGCCGAAACCAGGGATCGAACCAGGGACCTTTAGATCTTCAGTCTAACGCTCTCCCAACTGAGCTATTTCGGCACAAAATGTCACCAAAACAGTCTGTTACAAACATCAAAATAACATCTAAAAGAAAAAGACAGGATGTTCGGAAAGCTTGTTTAACTAATACTAAGTATCATTGTCTGTCAGTGAATATTCTACATTGCAGGTACAGGTGAACATATGTGAAGAGAAAAATAGGATTTTCAGAAAGTGCACTTTCAACTAATACTAGGTGACAAATTGGCTGTCAATTAGCATTAGAATTGTTACATTGCAGGTATAAGCGAACCTGTAATTAGAACAGAGAAATCAGACTGCTATAATCCAACAGCTCTAATCATTGAGGCAACTTGTGCCCAAAAGTCACCTCCTCGCTGCCGAAACCAGGGATCGAACCAGAAACATCTCCAAACAATGGCAGTCTGCCAAACATTAAAAATAACACCTCGTGAAAAAAAGACAGCGTTCTCTGAAAGTGCACTTTCAACTAATGCTAGATGGCAGATGAGCTGTCACTTAGCATCTGACTGTTGCAATGCAGGTATTAATGAATTTACTATATGTAGAACAGAGAAAGGCACCAAATCAGACTGCTATAATCCAGCAGCTTTATCATGGAGGCATCTTGTGCCTAAAAGTCTCCTCTGCCGAAACCAGGGATCGAACCAGGGACCTTTAGATCTTCAGTCTAACGCTCTCCCAACTGAGCTATTTCGGCACAAAAAATGATAAAACAATGGCAATCTGACAAACATTAAAACAACAACTCGTGAAAAAGACAGCATTTTTGATACGATCTAACCTCTGTTTTCTCTTCATGTTTTATCAGCAGCTGTGTGCAGAGGAGCTGTTACAGTGTGTTCATTATTCTCCATCTTCAGTAGCACCACAGAGAAGTTCTGGCACCGAGTGACTGCAGATTAAGGGTTGATGAAGTTGATTTCTATCTAATAGCTGTCACAAATGTAAGTTTTAGTTTAGATATGTATTTACAGTTACATATCTATCTATATCTCTCTCTTTGCAGGTGTAAGTGAACCTATTTGTACAGCAGAGAAAGGACAGGAATGTTGTGTCCGTTGTGCTCGGAAACAGGCATGGTCTTGTGTGTGAACACATCAGGTTGTTGGATGGAAACAACAGCTCAACCCATGTGCCTAAAACCCTACTTTTAAACCAGTGACCTTTAGAAATTCAATCTAATGCTCTCCCAATTGAGCTATTCTTGTGTGTGAACACATCAGGTTATTGGTTGAAATTGTCTCACCACATTTACTGTAGTGATTTACTGGCTCCAAAACTCTGCCGAAACCAGGGATCGAACCAGGGACCTTTAGATCTTCAGTCTAACGCTCTCCCAACTGAGCTATTTCGGCACAAAATGTCACAAAACAATGGCAATCTGGCAAACACTTAAAACAACAACTTGTGAGAAAAAAAAGCAGCATTTTCAGAGAGTATTTTAACTAATACTAAGTGGCAAATGGCCTATGAGTTGGCATGTTGATTTCAGGTATTATAGAACAGAGAAAGGCACCAAATCAAACTGCCATAATCCAGTAGTTTTTATCATGGAGGCAACTTGTGCCTAAAAGTCTCCTCTGCCGAAACCAGGGATCGAACCAGGGACCTTTAGATCTTCAGTCTAACGCTCTCCCAACTGAGCTATTTCGGCACAAAAAAGCTACAAAACAGTCTGTTACAAACGTTAAAATAACATCTAAAGTAAAAAGACAGGATCTTCCGAAAGTGTATAATGATCTGTCTTTGAATATCTTACATTGTAGGTATCAGTGAACCCTTTTGTACAACAGGCACCAAATGCTACAACTATGTCTAGCAGCACCATTGAGGCAATTTGTGTCCAAAAGTCACCTTACGGCTGCCGAAACCAGGGATCGAACCAGGGACCTTTAGATCTTCAGTCTAACGCTCTCCCAACTGAGCTATTTCGGCACAAAATGTCACAAAAACAATGGCAATCTGAGAAACAGTTAAAAGAACAACTCATGAAAAAAAGCAGCATTTTCAGAGAGTATTTTAACTAATACTAAGATTCAGCAGACTGTTTGCATTGAACATGTGGCTTTCAGCTGCCTGTACTGACCATTCTGTCCATTTTATTGACAATTTTAACTTTTTCTGGGATCGCAGACATCTTTTTAAGGCAGATGGAGTTTGCCTGAACAAGTCAGGAGTGAAATTGTTTATCTCTAACATATTCAACTGCCTGCGTCATCAATCTGTTCCCTCTGCCAAGGACAAGCGGCAAGAGGAATCAAAACAGGAGAAAGACACAACACATCGCGCAGAAAACCCTGAAGAAGTATCACTGCACCCGCCTGAGGAATGTTGTGATTATGGGAGACCTATGACACAAATGGAGGAGTCTCCACTGCCCGTCACCCCCCCTGTCAACGCCTTTGAGGATACTCTTCATTCATCCCCCAGCTCTCTCTACTCTCCGCTCACCCTTTCACCCTCGCCCTCCCCCCTGGAGTTCGATGACCACATTTCTGCTCACAAAAATGTTCAGAAAGAAGTAACCACAAAGCGATATTTAACTGAAAATACTAGGGAAATGTTTACTCATAATTTTTCATCCACACTTGCCCCTGCTAACATCTCAGTAAATGAGCTAGTAGATCATTTTAATTCAAAAATTAAAAATGTTATAGATACCATTGCTCCAACTAAGGTAAAGGAAGTGATTGGCAAGAAAATATCTCCATGGAGAAAGGCCATGACCGTGAAGAGAGTGTCGAAAAGCTGAACGTAGGTGGCGAAAAACAAATCTCCAGGTTCACTTTGAAATCTATAAAGAGAGACTTGGCCTTTATAATTTGAAATTGAAAAACGCACGACAGTCTTTCTTCTCTGACATCATTACCAAAAACAAAAACAACGCACGTGCCTTGTTTGCTACCGTCGACTAACTAAGTCAGTAGCCTCTGAATTTCTATCCACCAGGGCATGCAATGATTTTGCCTCCTTCTTCACTGACAAAATTCAGAAAATTAGACAAGCAGTCAGTGCCTCTGCATCAGGTACAGCAAATGTGTTGTCCACCTAATATCAATTCAAACACCATGACACAATTCCATCAGATTAATGATAAAAACTTAGAGGACATTATTCAACTTCTGAAATCCTCCTCCTGCTGCCTTGATAGGTATTGTAGAACAGAGAAAGGCACCAAATCAAACTGCTATAATCCAGCAGCTTTTATCATGGAGGCATCTTGTGCCTAAAAGTCTCCTCTGCCGAAACCAGGGATCGAACCAGGGACCTTTAGATCTTCAGTCTAACGCTCTCCCAACTGAGCTATTTCGGCACAAAAATGCTACAAAACAGTCTGAACCAAACGTTAAAATAACATCTAAAGTAAAAAGACAGGATCTTCCAAAAGTGTGTATAATGATCTGTCTTTGAATATCTTACATTGCAGGTATCAGTGAACCCTTTTATACAGCAAGGCACCAAATGCTACAACTATGTCTAGCAGCACCATGGAGGCAATTTGTGCCCAAAAGTCACCTTTCGGCTGCCGAAACCAGGGATCGAACCAGGGACCTTTAGATCTTCAGTCTAACGCTCTCCCAACTGAGCTATTTCGGCACAAAGCGTAGTGGCACAATGGCGGTCTACGAAACATTTAAAATAACATCTCATGAAAAGGACATCATATACAGATTGTCCAACGTTTTAAAAAAAGGATAAAATCTTCTAAAATGTTTCAATATATTGCTTTTCTATTAGCAACTAAATTAACTCGCCTCTTTCTGCCGCCTGCACTTCCTGTGGTGACCGCAGGGGGGCAGCATTGGCCTTCAATCCTGCCCTCAGTCGGAGATCGTTCCGTAAAATATAGAATATAATTATTTAAACGTCTTATCAACACACATTTAAACCTTGTATTAAAATTGCCTTCATTATCAGCTCTGCCCACAATAATTTAAACAACTATCTACTTTATTTAAAAGGACAACAATGCTACTGTAGTTTTTGTTTTCCATCATGCAATGGCCTAATATCATCATGTTTAATTTCTACATCCATCACCACCTGACACTCTGAAATCATAAACTCCAAGATGTTTTCTGAAATGGATTCTGAATCATTTTCTATTGCATTCTTCCAATTAATGCCAATCACACAGGCTGATCATCATAATGCAATAAACCCAGGAATGAAGCCTCTGTGTTTTTTCGAGGGGGCGGAGGGGAGCCTCTCGTTAATTGGACCTGACCCTAATTTTTAATTTCCCGTTAATAATAAACCCTCATATATCACTGCGGGTTGTGTGCATGCAGCAGAACAAAAGAGCAGCTGATATAAATATATATTACTTTATTGCTTTCTTCACAGCTGATCTCGGGCCTGATATCGTTTCATATCTGTTTAGAATAACGTGGTGTTATCTGTGGGATATATTTCATTTCGATCCGTGAGACTGGAATAAAGCTGCCTTTAACAGAGCGGCTTATAATTCTCATTTTAAATCGGGATGCACTGATTTGATTTGAGGTCCATATGAAATGAAAACATCGTCAAATACCAACCACCAGAATATTTCGATGCCATCATGTCATACAATATATTGCACCCTGAATAATTCAGCAACAACATTTCTTCACAAGCACAGAATTACAGAATTAAATATAAAATGCTGTTATATTAACACTACGAAAAATGGAAAATGTCTTATAATTCACGTATTTGTTGTTGTTATATTTCAAATTAAAATGGTGTATTTACCTTAAACTCGTCAAGATAAATTGCTTTTATTTATTCTGACACACTGGACCGCTCAGGCCTGCTGTGGCTCTGCATTAAGCTATATATTTAATATATTATCCTAGATTTAGAATTTAAGGTGTATTATTTTTCATCCGTTAAATTATATATTTTTTTTGACAGGATCATGACTTACATTTTTGGGACTATTTCTTTAATTAGATGTATCTTTATCTTCGTCTTCCTCCTACAATGGGAAGACAGACCTCTCATATGTTATATAGGTTTTTGGCCTCCCTTTACGTATGATATTGTAATATATATATTGTCTTTTGTGAAGTGTTATAAATAATAAATCAATGCTTAATTTCCAAACTGTCTAAAAGAAGTCTGCAGACAGAAGGTTGGAAGTGCGGATGGTTAAATAAGTTGATTTTTATTGTAGGCCTAATTGGCAGATTTAAATCACTCCGCCGTGGTGTTGAAGTGAAGGCTTTATGAGGGTCGGATATTTGATTTGATTTCTGATAGGACTCCACGGTCCTGAGAGGCGGATCCAGGCTCCAGGACTGCGGGGAGAGGCTGTGAGGGGGCCGGGGGGAGGGCTTCTCTCTCGGCTGTCCCCCTCCCTCTCTCTCACTGAGGACTGGTGGACCAGTTTCACTCACACCTCTGGATTTACAGCAGCTCCAGGTCTCTGTGCAGATTTGAGGATTTTTACAGACGGGCCTTTCGGTTTATAGAAAAGTCTGGAGCTTGAATTCAGAGATGCTGCACGACATTAAAGTGGAAGCTGACCCGGGATCCGTGGACCTCCTGACCGGTGAGTTACTCTTCATCCTGACCTTATCCTTATTTCTTTATCCATGTTCCCACCCATGTTCTTCTTTATCACGGGGGGCTGCTACAATAACACTAACAAGGAGAAGTGGCAGCTCCTAAATTTGCTCTCAGGTGAAGCGAAAATAGCCTTTTATGTAAAAACAGAGAGAAGGGCAGGAGGGAAACTCTGGCTCAGGTTTTATAAACACTTATGAACACTTGTGAAATACAAATTATGTACAATATATATGCCGTTAATAACTGTGCAATATATACCTGGCTGCTATATCTCTCAGAACTGTTACAGGATGTGTATTTTGTAAATTGTGTTTAATCTTTAATATTTTTTTTATGCATGCTTCTTGGTTAACATTAAGGTGTCTCTGGCTCTTTTCTTGCAGTAACAAATGCACATTTCCCCTCTGTGGGACGAATACATGTACTCTGATTCTGATTATGGGATGTAGATCTGTCTGTTCTGCTGTTCATGACGATTATTTGCATTTTGCACACGTTTTTAATGGATAGATTTGATTTTATGATTTTTTTTAAATACATAAGCACCTGTATGTGTATTCATGTAAATTGTAATTTTTGTAATGTCTACTTTTATATTTAATACTTTATGCATGCATTAATTAATATTTAACAGTTTTTGGCTCTTCACTTTTGCTGTAACGATGTACATTTGTGGGACAGATAAAGGTATTATTATTATTATTAGGTGCCTAGTATCAGTTATACGTTTGCTATTGTTATCTTGATGATGATTATTATAAGTATTATTATTATTATTAATGTGTGCGCCTTTGAGTTACAAGCTTGTTAAAGCTGGAGATATCTGCTGCAAAATCATCAATCGGATGATATTATGATTAAAAACAACAGAGATTGTTCATTAATATTAAATTATTAATTAAAAACAGGACTTTTATGTTCAATCTTTTATCGAGCCACTCCTCACTCCTGTGTTATAGAGAAGTGGGGTTATTGTATTAAATAAATAACAATTAATTCATTTTGTATGCTACCTTGTACTTCTACTACTCTGCTGGAAGCCAATTTACTTATAGCTTTTACAATACAAATCAACTGATGAATACATATTGGCAATTAGAAGTTAAAATATCATCATCATATCATAATCCAATATGTATGATGTTTAAAAGGCCTACATGCTTAAGAGGTATATTCACTTTTGCCACTTGAAGTAGGATGTATTTTAATGCTGTGGTTTTACGAGAATGAGATTTGAAAAGCAGTACTTTCTACAATTTCTGTTCTGATTAAGTATACGAGTGGCCTGCTTCCTGTACCGCTGCAAACAGAGGAAAGGGAGTTTACACTGAGTTTTCTGAGTGTAAATGAATGAATGCTCTCGCTTGTGAAAATACAAAAAGCGCTGCCTGGTGTCATGCTGATTGTTTTTATACTATGGCCACATAAAGGGACTTCTTCTCTTTGCTCTCCTACACATGAACGAGGTTTACACATACGAGGAATTGGCTTTCAGATGCACACAGAGACACAGAAAGAACATCACGTAACCAATTCTAAAAGCTAGTGCAACAAAGGAAAAATAAAGACAATATTTGCACTAGTTATGTAGGAGTGCAGTAATACAATATGACAATACTATATACTGAGTGGAGAGCTGTGCAGGTTTAAAAAAAGAGGTAGCATGGAGCAGAAATGTGGATTTACGAGGATGTGGATTTACGATATGAAAAAGAACAGTGAGGACCGAGCGAGCGTCACAGTGTGGTTTCTAAATGTGAGGCAGAAACAAAAGGCCTGTAGTGCCGAGAGATAGGAGTCGGAGGCGGTGCATCGAAGGTGCACATGGGAACTTTAATGAGCAGCAGAAATAGACATGTTGTCGAGTCGCAGCCCGGGAAGAAGAGAAAGAAGCCAGGAGGGCACACAATAAATACTGTCAGCAACACATATGTCCGTGCGGAAACAATACCCCCAACCTGTAGTTCCATGCGTGAATTATGTCAATCAGTGATCACTACAGGCCTCAAATAAAACAAGGACTCCTCCACTGATAGGAGCTTTTTGGGTGAAAAGGTAGATTTGATCCCTATTGCTATTCTGAAAACACAAACAAATGAAAACACTTGCAGAATTAGCAACCAAGAAAACATAAAATGCAAATAAAATATAGAAGCAAAAAAATCCCCCATAGCTTACTCATTATAACATGACCATCATGCATGCACTCATCTCAAGATAAGATATATATATATATGAATATGTGTGTCTATGTATATATATGTATAAGGGGTGTAAGGCGTGTATGTATGTAAATATATACTTGTGCTTAGAGAATATCAAATACAGGCAGGTGGTTCCACACAATCTGATGCATTATGTTTAAATTGGGAGCATGCCCCTACACAGGATGTGAGGTCCCACCCCCCAATTATCACATGTTCACATGGATAGGATACTAAATACATGTGCACACCATATACAACCTATGTCCATATGTTTCTATTTTGGTAGTAGATTGGTCTGTTACCAACCAATCAATCAATCAAAGGTTATTTATGTATCCCAATATCACACATTGTACATTTTGTCTAAGGGGGCTTTACAGTTTGTACAGTATACACGACGCTCTGTCTTTAGACCCTCACATTGGACAAAGAAACCCCAAAGTTAACGGGAAAGAAATGTTAGAATCCTCGAGGAGAGCAACAGAGGACGTTTAGACGTGCAATATATGTTGTGTGTGAATTAAAAGATAATACTTATGGTCCAAATGCTGGGAAAATGTGTCTTTATATAAGAAGAAGATGGACCCGGGTGGAGCTCTATTGTACTATTTATATCGTGTATTCTTTGGATATCTGATATAAATCTATTCTGTAAGATTTCCAGGCCCCCTATGTTGCTAAATCCTAGCATCGCCCCTGCTGATCAGTAAATTCCTGACACAGTTTTGGGCATTTCCTCATGTTTTAATGACATAAAACATATTTTACAGGTGGAGCTCTAATGTTATATTTTATATTGTGTATTCTTTGGATATCTGATATAAATCTATACTGTAAGATGTCCAGATTCTAGCATCGCCCCTGCTGATCAGTAACGTATCGATAATTCCTGATGGTGTATTTCCTCGTGGTTTAATGACCCAAAACATATACTTTTCGCAGGCGGAGCTTCCCCGCAGCAGGCCGTGTGTGAGGGCTGCTCGCGGATCATCTCAGACCGCTTCCTGATGCGGGTCAACGACACGTCCTGGCACGAGCGCTGCCTGCAGTGCGCCGCGTGCCAGCAGCCGCTCACCAACACCTGCTACTCCAGAGACACGAGGCTGTACTGCAGGGCCGACTACCAGCAGTAAGGGGGGGGGGGGGGGGGGGGGGGGGGGATTCGGGGATGGTGATGTTTTAACTGCTCTTAACACAAAAACCATTAATCATCAGCAAATTTAATTTAACTCCATTTTAAGCTGCAAACAATGTCTATGACAGGGGTGTCAAACTCAAGGCCTTGATCTTTTGTGGCCCGCAAGAGCTTGGAAATAATATAATATGTTTATTATGCGGTTACACGCCGCTTCACAGAAGCACATTGCCCATAAACTACATGTCCCACAATGCATCTCGTTTTGTGACATACCACTGAAGAGCCTTGCAATTATTTGCCCTAGACTTCTGCTTTCAGACGTAGTTAATTATGAAGTTATTACCCAATCCGATAATAATCCAATGCAGAGGCAACGATGTAATATAATACATTATTTTATATATATTATATATTTAAATATGTATATTTATATAGTCTTAAAGTTACAACCGGCCCTTTGAGTGCAACCTTAATGCTAATGTGGTCCGTGATGAATTTGAGTTTGACACCCCTGGTCTATGACTACTGGTTCACATGAATAACTGCAGTGGATAAACAAAGAATAGACACTGAAAATACCAAATGAACGTGGTTGTTGATTTGGATGTGTACCAACTGATGGATGAACACCATCTACAGTAAGATTTCCGGGGATGGCTGTTTTAACTGCTCTTACATTAACACAAAAACCATTCATCATCACCAAATTTAATTAACTCCATTTTAAGCTGTAAACAATGTCTCAGACTACTGGTTTACATGTATATGGATATAGAAAGAATAGACACTGAAAATACCAAATTAACATGGTTATTGATTTGTGTGTGTACTATCTGATGGATGTACATAATAGGGTTACCCATTCATTTCCAATGGCGTCAAAATTCGATGAAAGTGGTGATTACATTGATTCCTTAAAAAGCAAACTCAAAACCCATCTCTGTCTTTCTTGTCAACTAATTTCCATCACCTAGTTTCCATCTACATTAGCATCACTTCTGTCACATGCTTTTATCACATGGCAATACTTGTATAATGTTTTTATGCTATGACGTTTGTATTTTGCTGTTGTCTTTGCTTTTGTTTGCTTTGTACAGCCCTTTGAGGCATTTCTTGTGATTTGGGGCTATAATACATTTTGATTTGATTTGATTTGATCAGTAATTGTTCAAATGCTTACTGTGGAGGATATCATAAGGCCTTGAATCAATCAGATGTAAAACACAATATTTACCATTGATCAAAGCACTAAATCGGTCTGATTTCACTTGAAGACGACAGGAGGTTTTGATGCACCTTGAAGCATTTCCCTGCTACTGTTGCTGTACGATACGGCGCATATCTCAGGAATAAGTCAAGTGATAGGGTGCGAAGAGAACATGAGAGGCGTGGGGGTGTGTTTGATTTGCTCACCAGTGTTACAGTGTGCTCAGAGCTGGGTGGTCCTGTTGTCTGCAGGGTTTTGCAGACAGTCAGATCCTCTCTCTGCTGGGCGTCTGTCTGCTTCTCTTCAGCAGCCTTTGTCCGGCACCAGATCTTCACACACTCACTGCTGCATGCTGGGGGTCTTTCTCACTACAATGGGCCACATGCATCTCAAAACATGGCACCGCAGACACATCCATGGCTCAGACTTTCAGCAAAAACAAACAGATGCACAAATGTAACCTTTGTGTTGTCTTACTGTGCAATTTTTGTCCTGGTTTTGTCTGTTTATAAAGCATAGATCATACCTCAAATCTGGGTTACACCTTTTAAAACCAGCTTATTTCAACTCATAAGCACAAGTTTTAATGATCTTTTATCCATTTATGGTCAATAGACCTCATTTACACAAAATTAAACCTTATTTTTTAGTTAAAAACAGGAACATTTTGACTATAGGAAACCATATAGAAACATATTTTGATGGATTTTCACAGACTGGTATATGTTCAGTCAGTATTCTGTTTCATTTCTTTAATGAAAAGCAACCAGATGCAATAGATTTAAATACAACACACAGAATTGCACGCATTTTAACAATGAAAATAGACAAAGAAATGCACTCCAAATCTGAACAGGCTGACACAGGTTACCTCCTCTATGTTTGATACTGAGGCTGTAATTGTTGCAGGGAGAGACACGTTGCTAAAGCAGCAATAAAAGGAGACATGGAGGGTTTAATCAGAGCTCTTCAGTCCGAGCGGGCTCTGTCTTTACGGCTGTAAGTCACACGCTTCATCACGAAACAATATTAAATTCATCCAACAACAACATCAACACAATATCTCCTGATATCAGAAAGTCTGCCTTTCTCAATTCAGTGGCCTCTGACCCATATGAGAGCACATCCTCCATATCACAATCACTCACATTTATCAACTCATAAAAACAAACCTAAAAGATGATTTGACAATTTTATCACCAGGCATTATTTCTCCCTATTGGGAACTTTTCTTTAAGCAGAGGCGGGAAGTACCGTAAGTACATTTACTCAATTACTGTACTTAAGTACAATTTTGTCTTGTACTTTACTTGAGTATTTCCATGTTATACTTAGTACTTTTACTCCACTACAATTCAGAGGTAAATGGTGTACTTTTCTTCCACTACATGTATTTAATACCTTTAGTTACTTTACAGATGTGGATGAATGATGTGAAATATAATCAAGTGTTAAATCAGACTTTAGTTCCACCTGGAGTAAATTCACAAGCTACTCTGCAGTATACAAAGTCATTCAAACTAGCTGCACCTTTACCAGCTTTGAGAACACTTTCATGATCAATCATTATAAAACATATCATATATATTATTCTGAAATGGACCAATCTGCACAATGACTACTTTTACTGTCGCTACTTTAACTATATTTTGATGATAATACTTTTCTACTTTTACTTGAGGAACATTTTGAATGCAGGACTTTTACTGGAACAGAGTATTCCTACACTCTGGTACTTCTACTTTTACTCAAGTACAAGAGTACTTCTGCCGCCTCTGACTTTTAGCAGCAGGTGGAGCTTAGCTTGTGCATTATACAGTAAATGTTATTTATAAGAGCATCATGCTGCAGTACGGTCTCTCTTTTGTCAACAATGTAGTATGTATGTGTTTGGCTTCATGTACAGTTTTGGATATCAATTACTTAAATAATATTTATTTTAGTTCTAGGAGCTGTAGCTCACATTATTTTAGTACATCTAACAGTCCTGATGCTCCTGTCTTTGTCTTTGTTTGGACGTTTTGTCTTTGTCATTTCTTCCCTCCTTGCCCTGCTGTAAGGCCTCCATTACTCACTGTGAAACACAGAGGTATGTGGGAGATGTCACTGTGCAGGGCAGCAGGTTTATTTGATTAGAAAGCAGAAGGAGCTGCTGTGTTTATCAAAGCAGAGCCCCTTCAGGTGAGTAAATCCTGCAGCCAGACCCAGCAGGCTGTCCTCCAGTCTAAATACACTGTCCCCCCCCGGGAGCAGGGGGCAAAGACAAGAGGAGGGCGGGGGGGGTGTTCATGTCAACCCCCAAAAAACAACAGAGGAAGCAGCAGGAGCTCCTTAAAGCCTCGCTGTGATTGGAAACCACAGCTGATGAAAACAAGCCGCCTGAAGACTCTGCAGATTGGGTTTCATCAGAAACTGGGATGTATTGTGACCCCCACCTTGACTTCAAACAGAGGCAACATGAAACAGTGCATGGAGCAGTTTAGGGATACAGCTACTGTCTGAGGAACACAGAAGTAAACCTCTTTCTGTTATAACAAAGGATGAGTTGAGTAAAGAGAAAGAGGAATATAGATTTTAAGAAATACAAAACCAAGCCACTGCATATTGCTTGGCTGTTGAGATGAATGTGAAGATATACAGAGGGTGTCATTTTAGGATGTCATATCATGAAATATCTGCATTTGGTGTGTCTCTGTTGGAAGAAGCGTTATAACTTACCCCGACCCTCTGCTCTTTACAAAGTCAGCTACCTTTGGTTTTATCATACAAGGGTTAGGGTTAGAAAAATGTAACTTTTATATCAACCACACTTTTAAAAATAGTCAACCTAAATATGTGATTTAGCAGTGGGAAATACAAGTTAGACTTTGTATGATTTTAATTAATAAACTTAAAGGTGGGGTAGGTCATTTCGGAGAAACCGGCTCGAGATCGCTAGAATTTGAAAATACACAACCGGAGAAAATCTGCCACTTCCTTACAGAGCCCCTCCTCCAACACACACGAACGTGCACATGACCAATGAGGGCACGAGATAAATTTGTGCACAGATGGAAGGCTGACAGGCAGGTAGGCCATCCAATCATTTTAGCTTGGTCGTGCTTTTTACAGTACTACAGCTTCCACAGATGACATTTTTGTATGGATTTATTGTCAAAGCACTTCAGATATTCATTGCTATCGGGATGTTAAGAGCATTCCATGGAATATAACAAAAAGTGTATCTCGAGCCGGTTTCTCAAACTTACCTACCCCACCTTTAAGATACATTGAAGAAAATGAACAGATGAAATCGATATTTCTTCTAGCTTTTTAGCTCACGTACAGAAATAAACAACATAAGAAGTGAGCAATGTTTTGATGTGAATATAAAAATCCATTACATAAGGTAACACACCCACGAAATAGAGGAAGATAAGGAAACAAGAAAAAGAGAGGAAAGGGTTAATAGGAAATAACAATATGTACAATAAAACGTTTAAAAATCAGAAGACTAAATCAGAAATTAAATATATGAACATTCTTTAAATGTAATAATGAGAAAAGTGAGACCACTATGACTTTTTTTAACTGTAAATCTGGTATAAATTTGGTCATTTAGAATAGCGAGGACATTGGACTGATAACACTCCCTTTACAAAGTCAGCGTCCTTTGGTTTTATCCCACAATTTGCTGCTCCTTTAGGAAATGATCTGTGTTTCACTGACCTCAGAGCAGCGTGGCATTCCTCCAGCACACTGGGACACACTCTAAAATTCGAGAGAGCCACAAATCACAGAGGGG